CTAAAATCTTAATTTTTTGTAGTGTACACAACTAAGTCCAAAACTATTAAAAGTTATATTTTTTAATGTTTAACTAATCTAAACCACTAGTTACATTTGTTAAGCCAAATTCATTAAAATTAAAATAGCTAACTTAATAGCTAGTTTGATGGGGTTGGAATTTAATAATTTACTCATTATTTTAACTAAAAAATAAAAATAACTAGCTTGATGGAGATGCTAACTCGGGATGTAATAATAGCCCGGCCCGGCCCAAGCAAGCTTCGCGGGCTCCCATTTTTTAGCTAGACGGGTTGGGTCATGGGCCAAAAAGTGGGGCCCAAGCTCACTCATAATAGGGCCTAGGGCATGGGCTCGGGCTGCGGCTAGTCGGGCCTTTTTTTTTTTTTTTGAAAAATAAACGATAAATACATTATCTATGTAGATTATTTATTAGGAATAAAAAATTAAAAAAAATTATACTAGAGTATTTTAGTTAAGATTAATGAGACATTTTGTTTAGTTATGTTTCATGATGGTATTTAAATTTAATTATGCATTACTTATGTTTTTTTAATTGTGAATTTATAACAAAAAAAATATGCAATTATGTAATTTTTTTTCTTTCGAAATGAATAATTTTATATATATGAAAATGAAACTTTCAGTATTACAATATTAAATTAATTATATAACATTTATTGAATGAATAATTTTTATTTCAAAACAAAATAAAATATTACAAAAATTTATATTATTAAATAAATAGGTGTAGATTATTGATGATGGTAGAGCAACATCACTATGGGTCAAGTACATCCCGACTAGGTTGACCCCTACTAGCCTATCAATCATTTGCATTATACTCCACCTCAATAGTCCAAAAAAAAAAAAAACGAAATGAAATGAAATAGTAAAAAACAAATTGTGGATCAATCATCGGAGAAGACAGACATTTCAATTGCGTTACCCGATGATATGTCATCCAAATTATTTTGAATTCACTCATTTTCACTATAATTTTGTCTTCTTGTAATTACATGCATATGATCTCTGGATATCATCAATGCCTCAACCATTTGGGGTGAAAGTCTGCTCCAGTAATCGCTCAGCACCCGTCCACCTGCACTAAAAACTGTTTACAAAGCAATTGTAGAAATATGAACGATTAGTACATCACGGGTCATCTGTGAAACCACAGGCCACATAGTTTCATTTTGTTTCCACCATTCCAAAATGTCAAGATCATCGGAATCATCCACTGACGGGCTTTTCAAGTAACGTTGTAGTTCGAAACTACTTACGCTTGTATGTTGAGATATTCTTTTACTTTTTATTACTAAAAAAACACTTAATCTCCCACCTCAAGATGAGACTACTAGTGTAGTTTGTAGGTGTATTTACAGATGCAGCTGCCCTATATTCTTCAAATAATCTGTTACATGTTTGCATAATAGGGGCAAACTGTGTTTGATCAACGAAAAAACATTCTAAAAATTCTTGTAAACCAATTTCTTTACACCTAGAATCAATTATTATGGCTAAACCTAAAAGATGAGGCAAATGATCAAAATATTTATCAAATTTTGCTTTCATTGGAGTAATAATGGTTATATAATATTCATTACTCATATATTTTACAAAAACTTTAATTATTTCTGCAGCATATGCAAAGCAAATGTTGAAGTAAGAATATATATATATATATATATAAGAAAATAATTTTGTTGAAGTATCAAAAACTTTTCAAAAATCTTTATACAAGGCTACTTGACGCCAATTAAGTTTTGTGGGAGTCAGTACTCCTCCTATTGATGTTGTTGCAAAAAATAAATCTATTGCTCTTCTTTGTTTACAAGCTATTTTTAACATATTATACGTTGAATTCCACCTACTATCTACATCTAAAATTAATTTTTTAAATGGCATATATTGGCCGGCCGTACAGGTCTTTTGGTCGGCCATACAAATCTTTTGGCCGGCCGGCAGATATATTGGCCGGTTGGACAAGTTTTGGCAGAGAAAGGAAATTTGGCCTGGTGGCCGTCCGACTGGACGAGCGGAGCTCTAGTTCAGGCTGTCAAACCAGCAGTATACTCGACGACCACGGCGGTCATCTTTCACGACCGGGACTTGATCGGACAACCAGGAGGAATGGCTAGAGACAACTTCTGACCAATAAATTTTATAACATTCTCACCTATTACCATCCTATCTCCTCAACGAGAAGAAGGAATGGGCCATGTCAGACAGAATAAAGCACTGAGCTCTACTATACATACAAAGCAACAGAGTTCTTGCTTGCATTGCCAGATTTATCTGATATTATTTGTGATAATTATTTGATTTTCCTATTATTCTAATTGATGTATTAGATTGTAATTTTTGTTGGTGATTATTTATTTTAATTTGCAGAAACCTAATTCACCTCTCTCTTAGGTTGCTCTTTGGGTAATAGGTTGAAATATATATATATATATATATTCATTCATTCATTGCAAGGAAATGACATTGAATATTATGTTATTTTGTTTTGTTTTTATTTTTATTTTTTATTTTCGCAAGATCAATCTTTTATTTGTATATTTATTTGTATTTATTTAATTATTTAACCATTGCAAGTGTTTCGTGTTTTTTTGGAAATTTGACCATTGAGTGGGCTGGGCCGCCTGCAAGGCTCGGAATTTTTTGGGCCTGGCTGGGTCAACGGGCTAGGCTTCAAATGGAGGGCCTAGGCCCAGGTCCAAGGTGCTGGGCTGCGTTGCGCTCGGGCCCAGGCCTTTCCGAGCCGAAACAGGACGGGCCCACCTCAGGCCTCGAGCGAGTTTTGGCCGCCTACAGGTCTCGAGCCATTTTGACACCCCTAATGCTAACATTATAAGTAGACAAATTGACCATCCGTATACAAAAGAGGACTTGTAACTGCTTTACAACAAAAAAATTCAATTTGCATTTATTCATATATCTTTCTTCATCTACTTATGTTTCACTTAACCTAAATTATTTTTTTATATTCCAATAAGTCCTATAGGTGACATAGTTACCAAAATACCACTAATAATAATAGAGTGAAACGTGTATTAATGTTCACATTGACAGTCTGAATGTTCCATGATGTGAACATTCACATTGTCAAATTTATTTATTTATTTACTTTTTATTTTATAAAATTATATATTCAAATGAGATCTTATTTGATAGATCTCATTAACTAGGTTTCAAAAATATAAATTTTTAAAAATATATATATATATGTACAATAAAAATTATGAATTTTTAAAGTTTATTATGTAAAAAGTACAAAATAGTCCAAAATAGTGCACAGTATACCAAGTTGCTAAGAGTTAAAAAAACATTTGTTAAGATAAAATTGCCCATAAAATATATTAAATATGAAAATTAGGATTTGGTAGACCAAATGTTCAAATAATGGAATTCATTGGAATACAATAATATGTTATGGATTAATTGGAATACAATTATTTAAAACAAGATTTTCTAATAAATTTTCCAAAATTTCAAAGGGCTAAAATTAGTCAAAAAAACGATTAGCCAGGGTCAATTATACAAGAAGGCCAAAAAAAAAATGTATTTAAATGGGAGCAACTCATTAATAAATCTAAAATCAACAGTTCGTAATTGTTATATCAATTTGAATTTTAAAATTTTTATTACTAACTATTTTTAAATTTGAAATAAAGATATGTTGGATCTAGATTCTAACTCGTCTGGTAACATCACTAGTTAGCGTAAAAGTAAAAAAGTTACTAAAAAAACAAAAAGCCAATAACCTATATGAAAAAGTCAAAAATTCCTTTTTCTCTTTACTTTTTTCACATCTTTTTGTAAAAAATCAAAAAATCATCCCAAACATATTGATTTTGTTTACCTCATATTTTAGCTAAAAAATCAAAAAATTTACTAAAATAGTCGGTTCCCAAACGAGGCCAACTCGAAGTAGTTGTGAGAGGGTAGTACTTATGTGCAATAAGGTCAGGTTTCATGTTCTAGTCAAGTCAATGGAGTGGCATCGGATTGGGTCTCTATTTATTGACAATTTTGAGTTTGATACCTTTAAAAGTGAGATTTTCTTTAAGTTACAATTTAGAACTTTTTTCTAACTCATTTAAATCACTTAAATAAGTAAGGATAAAAGAATCACATCTTTGTCATGCTTATAATTTTTAAAGGCAATTCATAACAAAAAAAAACTATTTGGTAGCATATTTAACCAAATAGGCCATTATGTATATTTGCATAAAAAAAAAAAAAAAAAAAACTATGTGATAGTTTATTTAACAAAACATGTTCAACATTTTTCACAAATTATTAAAAGTTTCACCAAACAATTTACAATATATGTACAAATTTTAAGCTAATAATTTAAAAAGCTATATTATGTACATGATCTAAACAAACTCAGAGGTCTTGGACCATATAACAACTAAAAATGAGCATGAATTGTCTTCTATCTGGCCTCTAACAATGCTATAGTGACCATGTTGGCCGAACATTTTTCAATCTCTCTTCTTTCTGACTCTGCTTCAAGAATATTTCTTTCAGTGAAAAAACCAGGTTGTATGGGGTGAGTCAGTGCACCTTCTCTGCCCAACATCAGAACCACACTCACCATGTTAGGCCTATCCTCTGGCCGTTGGTGCACACACAATAAACCGACATGAATCAAACGCAACACTTCAGGTAGATTGCATGAGTTTTGCATTGATGGAGCAATCAATTCTGTAGTTTTGCCTTCCTCGTATAATTTCTAGGCTTGAACAGTTGGTAACAATTTATAAACAGTTGTTCTAATTTTTCAAATAGTAATTCTACATAAATTATACAAAATGATGGGATTGAATTGAGATCTTCAATTTTAAAAGAAATCACTCTTTTTTTTTTTTGTTCTTTTCTTTTCTTTTATATAATTTTCCTTTTTCAAAAGAAAAATAATTCAACTCTATGCTTACATGCCCAAGAAGGTTGAGGTGGTGGTGGTTTGGGTCACAAAATCCCTTGTTTCACTTCCCACTCACCACTTCTAATACTATGACACCAAAGCTAAATACATCGGACTTTACTGAGAAGAGCGCCTCAATTGCATATTCTGGAGACATGTACCCACTGTAGGAAAACAATGAACAAATAAACCAATTTATATAGTTAAAAGAAAAATCTTGAACTGGTTAGTAGATTCTTACAGTTTTCTAACTACTCTTTTAGTATTTGCTATGGTCTCATTTCCTCCAAAAATTCTGGCCAAGCCAAAGTCTGATATTTTTGGGTTCATCTCATGATTTAGTAAAATGTTGCTACCTTTCAGGTCTCTATGGATAATTCTGAATCTGGAATCTTGATGAAGATAAAGAAGTCCTCGAGCAATTCCATTGATGATGTGGAAGCACTTAGGCCAATCCAGTAACAACTTCTTTGATTGATCTGTCCATTTTTTGCCAAAGTTAAACCAAGCGGTTAGATGGTAGTTAAGTTTTCGAGTACAAATGCAAAATGGTTCCATTGAACACAAACATAATAATTTTGCGTTGGAGTAAGTTTGTTAGGACACATGTTAAGAAGTTAATTAGTAAGACCTTCATCCTTATATTCATAAAATGGGAAGATTACAATTGAGGGGGGCATAAAAGACAAAAATGTCACTGGTTGGTAAAGTAGAAATGCCCACCTTTTTGGCTGTGAACCTCACAATTCATCTTTTTACAATGGGACATTAATCACAATATTGCTCCAGTATGAAGTAGAATGAAACTAGTTAATGGTTTTAAGAAGGCATACCAAAAATAAAGGAGTCCAAGGTATTGTTGAGCATGTATTCATATATTAACGACCTTTCTTCTCCTTGGATGCAGTATCCTAGAAGCTTTACAAGATTTCGATGCTGAAGCTTGGCAATGCAGATAACTTCATTCTTGAACTCATCGACTCCTTGCTGGGAATTCCTCGAAAGCAACTTAACAAATATTTCTAGTCCACCTTCCAGCATACCCTGAAAATTGAATACCCTTTTGTTTGTTAGGTGTAATATGTTTCCATTGAAAGAAGCCACATTCATTTTATGTATTTTTCCTTTGTATTTTTTCTTCAGTATAATGTTTGTTCGGAAAATTATATAATGCACACCTCCAAAAAGGTGTGTACCATATGTCCCAACTATGATGTTTGTGATCTTTGGTTATGACCCATTGTATTGTTGGTTATGACTTGGTTATGATTCATTGTGGTGTTGGTTATGACTTAGTATGACCTATTGTCGTTTGTATTTTGGTTATAACCGAAGAGGTCTTTGGTTATGCCTCAAGTGGTGTTTGGTTATGACTTCTTATGGTTGTTATTTTTGTTATGTTTCAAGTGGTGTTTGGCACCTCTTTTAAAGGGTGTGTGTGGTAGAAGGGCCCAGTGTTTGTTTCTGCCCCATGCTTAGCTTAAAGTCTATGTTAAAAGTCATTCTACATCATATTTCATTAGAGGTAGTTCAGATAACAAAACTCTTATTAATGCAAATGTGTTCTTATTAAATTTTTTAAAATGTAGAGTAATCAATTCTATGTGACATAATGGGAAGTTTTGAGAAACATACTGAATGAATGATTGAATTAAGCACCTACTGTCAACAGTTCATGTGGTTGGGCATCGGTTAGTTTTCAGAAAATCATCAGTGTATCTATATTGTTACCATGTAAACAAGCCCAAACCCACCCTCTCTAATCTTATTGTCAATTGCAAAGTTATCTGTAGCTTTAGTGATTGTAGCCAAGTGAAATAATGGCAAGTCTAGATCTTCATTTTTGGTTTCTTTGTAGTAAGCATGTCCATGTTGAAGTTTTGTTCGTCCTATAGACAAGGCAGGTAGAGAACATTTAAATGAAACAACTTGTCCAAAATAAGTATATGTATGCAAAAGCACACCTACAAATGTGAGATACTATCATCAATGACTAATTTTGGTTACCTTCTCTCTTTCGCCACCCCTTCTTCTTCAAAATGTACAATGAAAAGCTAGGCCAAGCGTAAGTGTTGCTATTGAGACTACTGAGGTGACTATAATCCTCTTTGTCTTCTTCCAATTGTGGCCAGCTTGACCTAATATTGAAGCGATTCAATTAAAATCACTTAAAAGGGGAGACAATGAATTCCATGTGGTTATAAGGGATGTTCAATCTTCCATCCAAACAACATAGTCAATTTATCCCAAAGCAACAACCCTACAACCCTGCAATCATGCATCACACAAGAAGCTCAAGTGGAAGATATTGTGTGTGCCAGAAAAGAGTCCAATTTGCCCACCCAAATGAAATGTACAATCAATAAAAAAGGTGCAAAACTTATTTTGTTAATTTCAAATCTGCAAACATATGAAAATTTACATATCAAGATTCTTTGTGGAAGTTAATATGCATATATTTGCATAAAAAATGACTATTTGCATCATGTGTAGATGGAGCAAAGAAAAATACGAAAATCACAAGTTACAAAATAACATATGAACAATGGAAAGATAATGAATAGCCTGCAGTTCCAGATTCATGTGATGCACTAGTTAAATTTATGACTAGAATTGTTGCACTGCACTGGGCAGGTGTCCTTCAGCAGAGGGTCATGGCCGCTTGAATGAAGTGTTCTGCACCTGGGTTGTTCGAGGATTTTGATGAATTGTAAGACTAGATGATGCTATTTGTATTGTTGAGGAGGACCATAAAGCCTTGTTGGGTAACCTTTAAAACACCCGTGGAAATAGTGAAGGGCCTAAGGAGTGTTGGAACAATCTTCTGTGTAAAATAAATAATGTGAAACAATCAAACAAATAAAAAATAAATTACTTACAGAATTTATTTTACCGAAATGAATAAGTACAAAGATTGATCAAGTTGAGTGTGTGGCACTCTGTCCTTAAGACAAATTCACCTTGCTTCGGTGCTTACGGATAAATGGCAGAGGATACAATGATCTTACACAAATTGTCTGTAGCACTCCAAACAATCTGTACGGCGAACAAAACCTGTGTTCTATACTCTCAAAATTTTTCCTAAAACTAATGTGAAGAGAATTTATGGAAGAGAGCAAAAACTAGAAAACAACAAGTGAATTTCGGAAATTCACGATGAACAAACTGTTTGAAATGATGTAGTATTTATAGGCAAATAGGCGACCTTTAGATCTATCCAAACAGGTATAATTTGAATTGAACAGATACAATTTCGAATTGAATAGGTGCAATTTCAAATTTGAACAGATCTGTTGGAAAACCAGTTTGAATCAGTCCATAACTGCTGGGTAGTTTCAAATCTGTTTAGATCAGTTTTAATCTGTTGGAAATTGGATCGGATGAGGCTTGATTGGACAAAAATTTGAATTCAAATTTGGCGTAAAATTTGAATTAATTTTGTTCAGGAAAAATAATTTTTCCGCAAGAATTTTTGTTCAAAAGATTAATATTAGAACCGACCCGATCCACACCCGCGCCTGGCACTGCCGACGATAGCGGCGCATGTGGTGGTTTGAGCCAAGGCTCACTTTGTCCATAACTCCTCCCTTCTACAAACTTGAGGTGCCCCTTGGGGCCCAACCCTAGTATTGCCACCTAGAACTTATATACACACATAAGTTCTCTTAAGTTTCTAATGTGGGACAACCATATAAAGGAACTAACATTTACTTCTTCAACTTCCCTTTCCATGAACTTGAAAATGACGTCAAGTTTCCATTCACTCACAAATGGTTTTGACGAACCGTTTGCACCGTGTGACTTGCCATGCGGCAAGGAACACGTCACCTCTTTGGACCCACCCCAAAAGATGTGTGGGACCCACTCAAATTTGGGCTCAAAGTTGGCCCAAACTTAACCAATAAAAATCATATTTTTCTAACAAGAAGCACGAACACGGACAGGTGACACGGCACAAATACGCCAACATGGAAATTTTCAAAAAAAGCCAGACACGACACATGAGGGACATACATATTTATTATGTCACACATAATTTTATTTATTATGTCACACATAATTTTATTTATTATGTCAACCAAGCTTGAAGCTTCGTCCAATGGAGACTATTGTCTCATTGGTATTGTTTCAAACCCTAACTTGCTCGCACAACATTAGAGTTAATTGTGTTAAAAAGATGTTTGGTATATGTCTCGCTGTGTGTTTGATAAAATGGCCTGTGTAGATCAAGACAGGTAATAAGCATCATCTGGATCGAATTCAAGGCACACACAAAACAGAAATCAAGATGAAATCAAAATGAACTATCTTTTTGCCAAACTGTAGTTAGACATAGAAATGTAATATAGTGAGGAATGTTTTGAGGAAGAACCATAATTTTTCAGTATAGTTAATGACATGTTTCTTACATATGTATAATCTAATTAATCTATGTATTTGGTACGAATTCTTACCGAACTCAGAGGAAGCCATCCTTATGTAAATGTCTTGCCCATTTTCATTCAACTCTCTCTTATCAATCAACTCATCAAACCAAAGCTAGCAGCCTCTTCCATCTCCTCTTACGTCTAAATTTGTGTAAGCCATACAAAAGCAGTTTTTGAATCACAACATCTTGCATTCCCTTAAGGTCATGTTCCTGTCAAACCAGGAGTTCAGTGTATCTGGCATTTTATATTGTGAATACTTGAGAAACCCTTCTCCACTGTGGCAATCCAACGGTGTCCTCCGAACACAACCTTTAGAATAATCTCCATTTCCCCATTCCGTTTCGTTTCGGGGCACAAATTTACTCAAACAACCACAGGCCGATGAGTTTCCAATGTTACAGCTACCATTCGGACCACACAGTCTATAATTATCACAGTTATCTGTTGGTGCAGTCAGGTAAGTGTCCCATTTCTGGGTTTGATCAACCCATAACAAGCGCTTAACAATGCCTTCATAACTCACACCATACCTTGAAACAACTGGGTTGATGAGTTCACAATGATAATACACCTCCTCCTCAGAGTAAACCAATCCATATGTGTAGTATGGATTAGGTTTAAGGTTTGGTCTCCCACTGAATCTGAGACCATTCCATGGTCCAGTTCGGAATAACTCAACAGAACCATTTTTCAGAATACATTGTGGGTAGCCTTGAGGATCAAGAAGGTATGTATACTCACCTCGAGCTAGATCATCAATACTCTTCCAGGAGGAGAGGTGGCGCTCTAGGCCCACTTCAAAGTTCTTTCCAAGCTTCATGCCTGGTAAATGAGTATCGCATGGATAATCAAAACTTTGCCACAGAAAATGCTCAGACTTATCATTGGCATCTTTCACAACTAGATTTCCCGTGTCCATAAATTGCCCAATAGGGTTTTGTGTGGATCCTGTCACATTGACAGACCAAATGACAGTGCCAGTACCATTGATGAAGGCAAGAATTCCAAGGTCGATTATCATTAAGACGCCTGACAAATTGATGAGTGGGATTTCTCTGTTGGCAACCCATACAATAGTCTTGACAGATATTTTCTTGTACCATATTCCCAAGTATTGATTCTGGGAATTGCCAAGTCTGAAAAAACCCATCTCAAAGCTCCCACCAGATGAAACAACGGTATTGTTGCCTGTTATGGATTGAGTTTTGGTTATGGTGTCTATTGCGTTGGAGATTATTAAAATGGAAAGTAAAGAGGAAAACAAGAATGGTATTTTGAGGCCTTCCATTAATGGTCTAAAGTTTGCTAATTTCATGAATTTCATCTGTTTTTCCCATTGTTTAGTCAATTTATAAATGAAGATTCAAGAACTCCTACAGCACAATAAGTCTTCAGTCAGACTTTTCTATGGTAACTACCCAATACTTGCTACCTTTCAGTTGTACTTGGGAGTCAATAATGAAAACTTAGAATTCCATAATCATTTAATGCTAATTTGATACAAGCCCAATGAGACAAAAGAGTAGTTACACAAACTAGTCTATCATAACTTTTTTTTTTTAAACATAAGAACAGGCATTTGCGGCATAACCCAATAAAACACCCAACCACACATACAAAGCTCCTGAAAATTCTATGAAACCAACTCAAAATAATCCAAAATACTGACCTCTATATATAAACATTTTAACAAACAGATGGTAGCACTGCTGGAAATTCAGGTTTTAGGGGCGTTTTAAAAACGCCGCAATAGGTCTTTAAAACGCCGTTAAATCTTTTTGTGACGTTTTACACCAAACGCCGAAGATGCGGCCGTCGCTATAACTCTGTGACGCTTTAGAAACGTCGCTATATGACAATAGGCGGCGTTTTTAAAAACGCCGCTATAAATTCTTCTAACGGTAACATGACGTCAGCATGTTATTTAGCGACGTTTTTAAAACGTCATTGTATCTCTAATGCTATTTAACGACGTTTTTAAAAACGCCGTGATAGCCCTCTTTTTTTTTTCTTTTTTAATTGTGTTAATTTTAGGTTATTGAACCCAAAAAAAAAAAAACTATAATAAAACTGAAAAATAACACTAATATGAAATAATAACTCCCATTCACATAGTAAAATCTTATCAAATAACTCTCATTCACATAGTAAAATCTTATCAAATGATAATCCACAGTCATTGTGCCAAAAAAAATTCACACACAAATCAAACAGTGTATGTTACACAATTTAAAGAGGAGTCACCAAAATTAGATGCCCCTCCAAAAATAACACAGGGATCTATATATATACACAAATTGAAACATTGGTTTGATAGATTACTAAGATTAACAAAATGAATGAGAAAGTCAATTATCAGAACACAAATTGAAACATTGGTTTCATGCAGACTTAATACCTATGAAATACAAGCAAAAAACACAATTAAACACCTGTTTTAACAAGATTTTAACTTCCAAAAAGTAAATTTTATTTCTTCTCTGCCACACACCTGCAGAGGGGTTTTGGGTAAGGAAGAAAGAGAAGAGAAGAAAAGGACATTAGAATAATTACCTAGATAGATAGAATACAGACACTAGAGTAAAAAATTACAACATTGCGGGCCATACTTTACTAACTCAGTGGTAGTCTTTCACAATCCTTTCAAATGTGATCTGCAAAACCCAGTTAAATCCAATCCTCTGTCACAGCATGAAACTTGTAAAAAAATTCATCGGTAAAAAATAAGCCCTCGGTCCATAAGAAGCAGGGATACCTGAACCTGCAAAACTTGTAATACCCGTAAGATCGTAAGATCATAACTTGTTAACGTAAAAAGAGGAAGTTGACAGAAGACAAAACCCGTTACGAAACCACATGAAAAATTGCATGTTAACTAGCCTGGAATGTGCTGTGGTCAGAGAGTGCCTGACTGCAAACAAATACCAACACATGCAATAAAAGCAAAAAATAGGAATGCATCTAAATACCAAACCCATGTAATTAACGATTTTACACAGCATCACTTGTAGTAAGACATTTGGAAACCCATGTAACTTAAAGAATGTATAGTATCAAAGTAGAACTTCTTCAAGTTATTTGTCCTACAATTCTAATCTATCCAATTTGGACGGGAAACCAAAAGGAAAGCCAGGAAACAAGAATTTTCAATCGGTGGATAACATAATAGGTTTTACAAGTCAAGCAGATTCCGTTTCAAAATATATGAACTAGACCCATTTCTCTCTCACACACACCCAACCTTTAACTACTACACACAAGTCAGGAATTGACCATTCCTTGACGGAGACCAGAAAGCCATTGTAAATATGTTTGGTGACTTACAACTATACAGGACTGCTGCTTCAACTCCCTTACTGTTATTAAAACAAGACATAAAATAGTAGAAGCTCACCGCTACTTATAAGTTCAAAGGGACAACACAGAAATGATACTATGTGGAATGAAAACAGTATCACAATCAATACAAAAACATCAAAAGACTACACCTCATACCACATTTCAATCATTCACAAAAATCTCCATCAGAAATAAGAATATAAGGAAATAGCATGAAATTAAAATGAAACTCAGGAATTTTAAAGGAAACTCTTCAGAAAGATTTGAGACATTTCTAAGATCTCTAACACAACATGAAGAAAATTCTCAGAAACTCTTGAAAAATTTATTGTTAACTCACCAGAAACTCTTGAAAAATTCTTATTTCCAATCATAATATATAATTGTTTTAATAATTTTCTACAAATCTAAGATTCAAACACAGCCCCAAAAGGATATGTTAACAAATTGAAACAGAATAGACAGACAGCTTACTTACAAAATAATTAACAGATATAAAACAGCCAGTAAGTGTTTATTGGAAATGGGAGGGGGAGGACTCTTTTAAAACAAAGAAATTTGAAAAGTTGATGACCAGCAGTGATGATGAGAAACATTGGAAAAAGTAAGAGATCAGATGAATGTGAAAGGGAAACGATCTAGGAGGTTTTATATCACCATGCATGCAAGGCACACAAATCAAGCACATCAAAAGCAATTATGAAACCAATAAAAAAAGGTGGGGAAAAATTATCCAATCATAGAACAGTGAACCTGCACATCACCTGCACAGTGGAAAATGGTGTAAGCTACTTTGTTGGATGTGTGGGTCTTTTTTTAAATGGAACTTTTTATTGAAAGAGCAACCCAAAACATCAAAATTTTAAGAAAACAAGAATACATACCAGAAAATATTAGTTGGATCAATATCCATATCCTCGCCGCTGCTGGTTTCCATAGTACTGATCTTCATTGCTTTCGTTGTTATTGTTGGAACCATAAGTATTATCCTTATTAGCTTTTTCTGACTGTTCCTTTTCCCTGTTCCACTGCCCGATTTTGGCATGTCTCTCTTCACTTCCTTCTCTTACTGGACTCTGGTTCCTTCTTCCCCTCGGGCTCCTGCTTCGTCCTCTTCTGTGGCCAGGGCTTGTAGTCCTGTTCCTCTTGCTACGACTCTCATGGTAGTAATCCTCGTCATCATACCTTCTACTGTGCCCACAACCTCCATCAGGGCACTCATCATAGCTGCGATGCCTATAAGGACTTCAACTTCTGCTCCGACTGCGGCTATGCCTTGAGCGATACCTCCCAAACAATTGGCGTCTCAACTCTCTATCGTTCATAACAGTAAGATGAATCGTTTTAGAAACAAAATCAGGCTCTGCTCAACTGTAATACCTTGCAAAATATAGATGAGACAAAAACAAACACATCAAGGATGCTTCCCTGCCAATCCTTTTCAGATGCATAAAGTTGCAATACCCACCACGATTGCAGGCATTCTCTTCATACTGCCAACATGTGGCTTCACGAAAATCAGCCTTAGGCACATAAAGTAAGAACAATAATTTTCTATCCTTTTATGGACGACAAAGAACAATAACCAAAAGCTAGAATTCT